GCCAGTTTCACCACTGATTCATTTAAATCAACAAAGCGCTGTTTTAGTATTTCAACCTGCAAAAAAAGTACAACATTTTAAGTATTTCGTCCTGTAAAAGTACAACATACAAAAAGTATAACACTGTATCTAAAAGCCATTTGCAGCATAAAATTGTAAGATTTCTCGAATAATCCTAGCACATGCCAATGCGAAGCTACAGTCAAAACGAATGACTCACTGGCGGAGTAAAACCTTCATACTAAAACAGCATTACATGCCGTGAATTACGTCGTGTGTTATTTGATACTATAAACAGAGTAAGAATTAATGAAATCGTGCCTTCTCCTTATCAGGATGATTATTTGCAAGGAATGTGATATTTTTGTCTTGCTCTTGCAGTTGCTGCTGCAGCTTATTGACTCGTCCCTGTCGCTCTTCACCAGGTGGTATTTGTGCGCAATTTGAAATCACATTTTGGGCTTTCTCAAAGAATTCTTCCAGTTCGTTCGCTATTCGCTCAATCTCATCTTCGCTTTCTCCGCCGGCTGCAATAATTATATAAAAGACCATGAATTTCAGTGCAAAATTATCAAACGGTTAGTATAAAAAATCAAAGGTAAATGAAGCTCTATTTATTCCGCTTTCACAACAACACCGACTCAACAAAGTTTGAAACACAGGTCTCGCGAAAATCCAGTAGAAGCATGCGAAAAAAAAGAGAGAGAGTTAGAGAGGGCGAGGGGCGGGGTGGAAAAAGTGCTTCTTTTAGGAACTGATAAAAGTGAATGGTACGAAAACAACACAGTAATTCTATGCTTGTTAGTTTTCCTTCAGGGATTAAATGCATCCTCTAGAAAAATTTAATAAGGTTTATGCTGTCATCCCCGGATGCAACGATCCAATAAAATTCATAGTACGATTGACCAGCTATTCAGCTGATAACTTTTTTCAGTTGCTTCGACCAGTGCAGCATTACATGGTAGCCAACTTGTTGCTGGCGATTTTGATGTTTTTTTAGAATAACAAATTAAGGTAAAAACAGATTAAACCTCCTGGTAAGTTAGCTTGTGTGGACAGCGAATTCAATGCATCCGATATTTTTGTAACAATTCGCGACCAAATTCGTGTAAAATTTTCAAATGTGTCGTTAGCTAAGCGTAACTGAGAAGCAGATATGTCCAAATTATGGATGCGTTCTAATTCAGTATGCAGCTCGTTCACTTTCGCTTCTTTCTCTTTGATTTCCCGCAATTTCCCCTGCAAATAAGAAAGTCTATGAAAATTATTATCTTATGTAAAAAAATTTTGAATTTTTATGCGTTTTGTGCTGTGTAACAGCAGTACAAAACGCATATTGTTACGGGGTTGTCT